GGACCTGTACGAGCATCCTTCCCACTGCCACTTGCATTCTTACCCCTCCGCACCCCCCATCACCGCTGCTATGTATGCAAAATACATTGCCGTAATTCCTTTTCGCTTGCCTGCTTGCCGGGGCACAACTTATGCAAATTGGCGACTGGCTCTTTGTCAAGCAAAAGCAAAAGCAGTTGCATACCAGAAATAGAGCTCAAAAGTTTATATATAGCATAATATACTATATTCTACTCTAATATATATGTATGAGATGTATATAGGAAAATTGCATGTTTCACTGCAATGAAAACAAATCGCAAAATTACCATAATCAAAGCATAAAAGGGATTTCTGTTTTATTCTTTGGCCCACAACACACCACACCACTCTCTCTCTCTCTCTCTCTCTCTCAGCTGCACTACAGCTTCCTGGTCTGGTCTGCTCTGCTTCCCGCTTCTGCTTAGCTTGTTGGCTTGTTCTCTACAACACTCTTCTCTATTTTTACCCCCGACTGAGACAAAAGAGCGAACCTCTTTTCTGTTCCTTTTTTTTTTTGTCTGTGTTTTTGAAACTTGTCGACCAAGTTTGCTCGACGAAATATTTTAAAGTAATTGGCCTCGTTTGTTGGCTGGCCGGGAGAACGATGCGAGGATGAGGATGCGAGATGCGAGATGCACGAGAACAAGAGCAAATTGAATTTCGAAATAGATCTATTTGAGTTTGGTAATTGGTGCGGGGCTCCTACGAATTGTTTTTGACAAGTTTCCCTCTCGTATTTTATTGCGGCTTCTTCGGCCAAGCTTCCCCCATCCCCCATCCTCCACCCCCATCCACCACCCACCATCACCCCTTGAATGGTGCGTGTAATTGCAGCCAGGCGCAGCATATGAGAGCGGGAGCGACACCACAGAGATAATACTGGACAAGTTCCTAAAAGGTTTCAATAATTATTTGAGCCCGAACTATCACGATAGTATCGATTGTTTTTTCAAAACATTCAACGTTGATATTCCTCGATTTTGATATTCCGTTTAATATTACTAGCTAGCTGGGACTCTCAGCGCTAAACAAATAATTTTATCCAATTCCTCAATGAATTTTGTATAGGATTGGCTAGTCTTCAGAACTATTTTTAATGGGATTGTTTAGATATTAGGGTTCAAACAAAAACGGCCAAAGCATAACACGTAAATGTTGACTAAATGTGACGTCAGTGTTGCTGGTCAACCAAGTTTCTTCTATGCGTATGTACTTTTGTATACCTTATTTATTTTAATTGATGTTAAATGTTTTGTTCCAAGCTCCATTGAAACATTATTTATGATTTAATCCTAGACTTACATGTTTTTTACCTATAAGTGCACATGTTTGTGTTTTATATATACATTTATCCTGGTTCTGATACCTATTATTGGAAACCGTGAGCTGCAAAATTTCGTTTATATCTTTAAAACAGAGACTGAGTAGTTTCTGCATTAATTGGAGCCTGGTATAACAAACAATATCTCAGGTCCATAATATCCATTTTCCCAAGGTATGCAGATTGTTGCTCATCCCTTGCCAAAGTTGCACAACAATGCTGTCCCATGTTGCTGTATTTTTTTCTATACAAATCAACTGTATCTTACGGGAACGTCGCAACCATGAATCTACGCTACCGTATGATACATGTGGCCACACCGCGAAAATGAGGGGAAATTCACCACGAAAACGCTCTTTCACCTCGGAAAAGAGAGAACATTTTGAAAAACCACCACGAATTGAGAGCGAAAAATGTCAGTATTTGGCGGTCATTTTCAAAGGAATATTACTTTATGGAAAAATAAATATTTCACTTGATTTGTTTTGTCAAGCGTGACTGGAACCTCAGAAACGTCATTTTCAAAATATGCCGATGGCACGCCATAACATAAGGCGCAAAGTTAACATAACATAAGGCGAAACCATATCTAACAGGCCAAAAAAAACCCGTCAAAAAGGAAGAAGAAGAAAGTCGAGCGCTTCGCTTCAAAGTCACTAGTGGCGCTCCGATTAGAAGCTTTTTGTGGCTTGGCCAAAGCTTCTAAGCTTCTTCTTTGCAGGACGCTTCGATAGGTGTCTGTCCAGGCTACACGAATGCTTTTGGATACATTTGAAATGGTGCTTGTCCTTGATAACGGAATTTCTAATAACTTATCAAATATCACAACCAAACACCAACTTAATTAATTAAACCAAATTCGAACTCACATTAAATCCAATTTCAAAACCAAAAACGGTTGCAGTCATAGTTAGTCGATTGGCTGCGAACGTCGAATGTTTTTTGTGCACATAACCGGATTTCGAATACCTATTACATAAATTAAATTAAATTTTTGTATATTGTGTTTTAAATTTAGTTTTCTTAAGTTTAAGTTAATTAATTGCACTGAATAAAAAAAATAATGTATTTTCAGTGTTTTTTCTTTTGCATATATTTTTTTTTATAAAGTATCTAAAGTACAAAAAATTTGCTGCTAAAAAAATATTGTTACAATTTTGTTGCTAATTAAAAAAAACGTTACTACAAAAGAGAATATGTACATGAATGTGGAAGACAAGAGTTGACGGATTGGACCCCGAAAAGTACATGCACAGATAAGTACAGTAGACACTCACTACATGGCTATGGACGTAAGATACTTGGATAAACTTGCATTACCATCTAGGAACACAGACACACACACAGAACGATACGATGGGGAGACATACACTAATTCCTGAATCTAGGTAGGGATTGGACTGGCGGGAAATGGGTGTGAGGTTTTTTGAGACTTTGGGAAATTCGATTCAATTCTACTGTGGGTTGCACCTTCTCCGCAGATTGTATTTGGAAAGCGCTTACCACGCCCACTTGGGGGACACCTTGTCAAAGTTCCACTCATCGGGATGGCCCTCATGGCCACCGTCCTCGATGGGATTCATATCGGACCACCTGAAGGGTCCACTGCCAGTACGCCGCATGGCAATCGCTCGCATATCATTCCGCACCGGACGCCGTTCCGTGATGAGCTCCATTTCGGCCAGGCTGGCCGCATCATCGATGGTCACACTGAGACGCTCATCGCCAATGGAGGAGGGCACACCGGGATCACCTTGCTGTTGTTGCTGCTTCTGCTCCTCCTGGCTGTCCTCCTCCAGGGCTCGCGGCTGGACATGCTGCAGACGAAGGAATATGGGACCCGCAAAGGCATGGTAATCGCTCATGCCCAGTCGCGCATTGTAGGAGAAGAGCTTTAGGTCGATGTTGCCATAGGCAATGGACTCCTCGCCGCCCAGCAGATCGCCACGGAAGCCGTGGGTGCGCAGGTACTTGTCCACCGATTCGAGGTTCGTCAGCTCTGCCTCATCGGCGGCAGACAGCTGCTGGTCGTCGCTGTAATTGACGCCGCTGGCCTCCAGGGTCTCCTTCAGGTAGGGCACTCCATTGGCTAGCCAGGAGGTGTTGCCGGCTACAAGGAAACTCTGGGTTACATCCCGACTGGGCATGCGACCCGGCAGCTGTTCGGCAATCCAGACCATGTCCTTCAGCTGATCGTGACGCGACTGAATCGCCGCCTTATCCTTGTCATTGAGCGGCACAGGGGCATCGTCGTGCTTATCATCGGTGTCCAGGGCATTGTACAGATTATCTTGGACGCCCAGTTTGTTCAGATCGACGGTGATCCATTGCTTAGCTCCGGTTGCGGGATGCCTGGCCATGGCCCTGGCCCAGGTGCGTCTGTTCTGTGCAATGCGATTGGCGGCCATCACTCGGGCCACCAGCGGCACCACATCCTTCGTGTCCACCGTCTTCCACAGCTCCAGATTCTCGTTCTTGATGCCCACGCCGCCGACAATGGCCTGCACCTGCCGGCCCTTGATCACATAGAAGTCATCGGTGGAGCCCAGTATGCCGGGATAACCGGTGAAGGTGATGTCCGCGCCGGGCACTGTGTTGCTCCTCTGATTGGGCGAGAAATGGTAGTGGAACTTGTAGCGCTTCTGTATCCGCAGCATCGAGGAGTAGCTGCCCGCAGTGCTGTGTCCAAAGAGCAGCTGCAGCGTCTGCGGCGACTGCTCCTGCTGGATGATTCGCGTCAGCATCGATGCGCTGGGCAGAAAGAAGTTCTTGGGCTGATCACTGGATGCCTCCTCCTCCTGCTCTGCCGCCTGCACCTGCACCGTGCTGTTGGGCAGCACATAGTTCTCGTAGTAGATCTTCAGGTCCTGTATGTCGGCGGCGGCATTCATCAGCAGGAAATCGGACAATGGGATCTCCTCCTCCAGATCCGAGCGGGCACGCGTGGCCCCCCGAATGTAGCCCGTCTCCAGGCCCTCCAGCTGATTGAAGAACAAATGCAACTGATGCCAGTAGTGATCGTGCTCGGCCCTGATGGCCGCCTGCTTCTTCAGATGCTCAAAGTTGGTCGTCAGCAGATCCCTCAGCCACTCGCAGAACTTCTGGGTGCTCTCATCTCGCTCACAGGATGACGAAATTGTGCTAAAAGCAAAGTAAATCGATTACAATCTATTGATCCACTCCACTATGTTGAATGGCTCTTACTTGGCCCACTGATTGTAGATGTTCTTCCAGGTGAGGGAACCCTCCAGTATGCCCGCCGCATAGGCCTGCACCCAATCCGGATACGAACGCTGCGTCTCCACCTCGATTTGTGCCCAACTAAAGGAGGAGAAGGAGAACACTCATTAGCTGTGATCAGTTTTAATTTTTAGTCGCAGATCGTACCCATTCTCGTAGACTGAATCCTTGTAGCATATCCTGGCCACACCCTTGGGTATGTTGATCAGATCGTTCTGCTGCTTCCAGTTCTCGATTTGAAAGCCCACCTGCTTTGTCCAGAAGGCCGTCGCACAGTAGGTGCCATCATACTCCGGTCGATCCATGTAGCCAATGAAGAAGGCACCAATCACCAGCAAACCGGCTCCGATGAGTATGTAAGTCCCTATCCGTGTTTTCTGCCATGATGCACCTACAACTTTAAGCATTGTTCCGGCCGTCGTGAGGCTGATTCTAATCCACAAAGAAATGGGATATATGTATATCACACGCGTTCGATCGCTTCAGTGGGCGGTGGGGAGTGGATCAGTGGAGTTTCAGTATTCGTGGCTATAATTGAGATCGGCGCGTGCTGCGTACGAGTGGCCAAAACGTTGACGAATCAGCTGGCCAGTGTGTTGCGGGATGCTGAAGCTGCGGCTGGAGCAGGTGTAGGAGCAGGAGCAGGAGCAGGTGCTGCAGATGGTGGCCACGCTGTAAAGCGATGCGGCCGAGTGGTTCATTGGTCTTGCAGAGATTCCAAACAGTTCAATTGGGGTCTATTGTTGGCTATCGTATCCTATGGATGGATGTGTGGATGGTGTTCTGATGTTCTCTTCGGCTATGTCTTTTCAGGTTCAAGCTGTATCCCTGCAACCAAAGAGATACATTTTTTAAAATTAGAAAACGCAATAATTAGACGAATATTTACTTAGTTTAACACTCCCATCTAAATGTCCATTTAGTCTAAATATTTATTCAACGCAGCGCCCCATCTTCCGTCCAATCTCCCGTCCAATATCCCGCCCAATTTTCCATCCATAATAAACAAAATTTTGGAAATTTTCTGATCTGCTTATCCACAGAATTATTACGCCCCACTCATATACTCGTCTGAGAGATTCCCTTTTTACTTTACCCTTGAACCAGTTTAAATATTTATTCACTTTCTTCTGCTCAACGATGATCTGATCTGATCTGATCCCATCCCATCCCATTCACTATACTACATTGTATGTTTATTTCACACTTTCCCTTGTTAGATTTCCCGCTGGATGTTTTATTTTGGCAAACGGAATTCCATTCCTTGGATAAACAAAATTTTAAGCATTTGTAAAACTAATAAATTAATTTTATGGCCGGAATGGTACTTGCTTTATGGCAAAAAAAAAAAAAACAAGCAGCAGCAATAACCACCACTGCTGAGCTGAGTTAAATTGGTTAACAGAGTGTTGGTCGAAGATAAGCAGAACATCTGCGGTTCCCCCACCAATTATCATAAAAGTATCCACAAGATCGTACCAAACACAGAGAGAGAAAAGTGCTTAAAGCAATTATATTTTGCTTATCTGGCGGTGGGCTAATGGTGGGTTTGTCTTTGTCTTTGCCTCTGTCCCACGGGTAAGTTAATAAACAACATTCTAATTACAAAACCAGATTGCTTTTCCCCATCTATAAATAATCGACACTAAATTCTATTTGGTTTCAAAGCTCTTGCCCAATCCACATGGACTCTAATTGTGTGGGGAGCAAAAATTCCAAAATTGATTCGAAATTCGAAATTAAAATACACACTAAAAGCCATATCACGAAACAACCAAAACACAATATCATTCGTCTGGCACGTGTGCAGGCAGGCGAATTCTTTGTGCAAAATCGCATAGTATTATAGCATCAGTCAGTCAGCGGGTAAATACAATTACCCATCTATATTGATGGCTATTACGAGTACTACATATACCAAATAATACGTTTCTGGTTTTGCTTTAGCTTTTTGCATACAACGGAAATGTCTGAAGGCGCAAATATTTACGAAATGGAATCGAATGAAAGATTCAACCCAAAATAAATGGATATCTTCTATACTGTGTACTAAATGTAATTGCTTAAACCGAATGTAAATCATATGAGCCTCGTGTAAACAGAGGGCCGGCATCAAATGATCTTGGGATGTCTTACCTTTTGTTTCCCGGGTCCAGGAAGCTGCAATATCACAAGTCAACCCATTTGAAGAACTGCAATTAAACGAGAGAAAAAAACGGGGAATGATTAGATGTTTAGTCTGTGGCGCTTATAGTTTCGATTATTATTTTTTTTATTTGTTTATCCAATTGGTCGCGCGTTGTCTTGTGATTTGTCTCATGTGCGCCGACAATGCCCACAGAGAAGAGTCCCCAGAGTCGCCCAGAGTCTGTATTTGGAATAGTCTGTATATTCTCTGTTTACTTTCGGACCAGAGCCGGGTCCGGGTCCGAGCTGGACAAGAGCACGCGTGTGATGTGCTCTGAATTTTTGTTTGTGTCATAAAATGTTGATCGTGACAGTCATTTGATATGATATATGACCATGCTAATTGATTGGTGGTCTGTGGCTTTGTCTGTCTCCCTCTGTGGGAGTCATTGCCAATGAAGCGCAATTATGGTATTGGGTATTAAGTCGTAAAACCTAAATGAATGACAGCGGGGCTGGGGCAGAACAAATCCAACGAACTCGTTCAACTCTTCATTAGATGGGAGGGAGAGGGAGGTTCATCCATCAATCATTATTTTTGCTGTACTTGGCTTAGCAACCGAAACTGAAACTTTCTACTGGCTAAATTCCATTCAAGCTGCTTCTCAACCCATCACCTGTTCCCATCATCACCTGACTTTAAATGAAGTAATCCCTAGATCTCTGTGTATCTCTCTCCCAGTGAGTAATTTTCCTGGCAGATATTGGCTTCGATTTTCAAGGCCTAGCGCTTGAGAGGGGGAATGTAAACAATTTCAATGCAATTGAAAGGAGAAGGAGAAGGAAAAGCAAAACAGAAATTCATTTTCCATTTCGATAGCCATTGCCATTGCCATTTCCATTTCCATTTTCAGTTTCAGTCTGTGAAAATAAACAGCAATCAAGTTTGAAGTGAAAATGGCAGCAGCAGCAGCAGCAGCAACCTCAAGACAGACATCAATCGTACGAAAATCAATGGAACAAGTTTACATTTATTGAAAGAAACAATAAAACATATTAAAGGTATAAATCCACAGCAGACTTAATTGTATTGCGCTCCCAGAAGGCTGTCAATAAAGATATTATGCAGAACCCAGGGGAAATCCACACGTTGAGTGCAGAGTACACTCCTCCGTCACTGGACTGACGTCAAGAATTAGCGTTATAACGCTATGGAAACACACAAAACTGTCTATTGCTATTTTAGCAATGAGGGTGAGAGTGGGAGTGGGAGACGACGACCCACTGACGTCTTTTGCGGCTCACTTAACTTACTTAACGCCGATTATCATCATCATTATCGCTGTTTAAACACAGTTGCGTTTTTGTTTTGTTTTGTTTTTAGGCTGGAGTACGACTATTTAGCTGTACTTCAATTCTGTATTCCAGTCTGAGCTACTGAACTAGATGGCGTTCAATCAAACTATAGCCTAGAGCAAATAGTTTACCCCTTCCCACGTCTATCGTTTACCCGACCTGAAACTGTCACTAAGGGAGCAAAATAGATTGATAAGATTACGGCTCAGGGTACATACATATATATTTATGAGTGGACATATTTAGATATAAGCATGTCTGCCATTTGGCATATTAAGAACACAAGTTCAATCAATCGGTAGTCTAGGCAGAGAGCCCACAGATAAGATATACAAAAATTTATTAATCAGCATTGGCATAACTTTTAAAGGGGATTTTCCTCTACCAGTACGAGTATATATGTACATATAATAAATTCGAGCGATTATAGTCTCTACTTTAATCATAATGGATCTTTAGCCATAAATTAAATTCCCCATCATTTTTCAAAGATTTATAAACTAAATAAAGAACAGAAATCAACCCACAACCCACATACATAGCTGTAGTATGTAGTACATTTTATTTTGTTTCTGTTAGGTTTGCAGTAAAAAACAATTCATAATCTTTCCAAGAATTTTTGAGCGCGGCGCCACATGTGGCATGCGGTAGACGGTACGTGTCTTCATGTGCCACGTGAGTGATATAGGAAATACATTGTATTTGTGTATGCCCTCTGCAGAGTGTCTCCGAATGTGGGAATGTCTCAATGAATAAATAAAAAAAAAAAAAATGAATGCAAAAAAACTGTCGACTGTGCATAAAATGAAGACCAGTGGCCAGGTTTCAGCGCTGAATGGCTAAATGGCCCAATCAATGGGGTTAACAGAAAACAACAAAAAAAAAACTGCTTACTTGGCTGCTGCCACGCGTCGCCACAGCTATGATAAGAGCTGCAATTCCCCAATTCCGTATCCCCCCGGAGTAAACTGATGCCCCCACAAAGTACCAAAGTCCAGAGTCAGCTATGAAAATGCCCCTCCCCACGGTATCAGATGGCAGGCAGCAGCACTCGGAGACACAATATCTTTTGTGGATATGGCACATTTCCAGAGCTAACAGAATCCGCAGGCTTAGAGTTATGGATGGATGGCCAGACGAAACAACATTGACTTGACGCGTCGAGACGTCTGGAACGTAGACTCTCTCGGCGGGGACTCTGATTCTGATTCTGATTCGTACTGAATTTCTATGATATCAAACACGTGGACATCCGATGGCATCCGATGGCAATTCCTCCTGACTTCAATTCAATTCCAGACAAGCAAACGTGATTGACTTGACAGTTAAACAAAAGGTATTGGAAGGCCTGAAATCTGAGGCGTAATATTCCATTCCCATTCGGAGCACATTCCCCAATCGAATGCTAACGATTTAATGAATGATCAGACAGCAATTTAATCAGAATACATAGTATATACATATGCATATACATATGTATAGATAATGATTATCTATGGGGTGCAATTAGCGGGAAACTCTTAATTAATACAATATACAAATGCAAATTCGTGTGGAAATTGTCAGAGAATCAGCTAAGAATACATATTTAGGTAGTTTCCCCTGGGATAAACTTGTACCACAATCGAAATGATATAATCCATCCCATTGTGCAAAACCTTTAGGTATATTTGATTTTTATATAATGTTTGTTGTTTCTTCTACTCTTTAATCGATTTGTTTGTTTCTGAATTTAAGTTTGTAAACATTGCAGTAGTGGGGGATTTGCCTGTGTTTTTAAACCAATTTTTATAGTTATTTATTAAGAACTTTTACTGAACAAAGAAGTTCATTTAGTTTTTTCCCCACTCTTTCTTTACACTTTACACTTTGTTGTAATTTCCTCTGCTATCAGAGAGGGAGAGTGAGAGACAGAGGAAGAATTATATTATAATTCTTGAGAACAAAATCGCTCACTAATCGGTTCTGAACTTTTGATAATGATGCAACCGAAACCAGTTATGACAGAACCCTCTCTCCCACACAGAATGACAGGTTCATTTACCTCTTTTGTTAAATTTTGGGGGGTTTCGTGGCACACAAAAACCTCTTGATTTTAATTCCGCACACACCGAAAAAATCTATTTGGTTCTTCCAATTAACTGCAATTATCTGGAAAATCGTCAAGTGCGCGCGCGACTTCGATTAATGGGAAAACCGGAAAAATCTGCACCGAATATACGTTTAAACGGAATCCTCCTTTTGCGTCAAAGGTTGATCTTTCTTTCTCTCTGAATCTGAATGTACACTCGACTCGTTTGTATGTCTGGTTCGTACCGATCCGTATGCCTTGACGTTCCCACCGAAAATGTTGGACGGGGGCGCTTTTTCGGACTTTTCTTCGGCTCTTTCGGCTTTCGGGTTTTTCTAGCCACGAAGCAACCAACGAATGCCAAATGCGAATGCGAATGCGGGGAAAATCGTGCCCAGTCTTCGTGCAATTTTTTGTTGCGTTGTTTCAACGATCAAAAGTTCTATTGAACTTGGCCGCTACGCTATCTTCACACCAGAGAGAGAGAGATAGAGAGATACTCATGTAGATGGAGATAGCCATAACCTCACCCAAAGAAGTCCTCTTTTGAGGGTCACTTGGGTTATGCACTTTGCACTTGTTGTTGACCGACTTGTGGGACATGTTTCCGCTTGGCTACAACAATTTTACAATTAGAATTGACATTTAATTGAGCGGCTGTCGCATCATTTCCATCAGTGCGCAATTGTCGTGGGTAGTGGGGTAGTGCCACATGAGTTTTCCCCATGAAAATGTGTGTGCCTCGCATTTCACTTTCTTTGCCTCTCACAAATTGATAAGAGTCAGAGTCTGTGTGTCTGTCTGTGTCTGTGTTTGTGTTTGTGGGGTCAATCAAATTCTTGGTCTGCTCTCAATTGAAATGAATTGAGAATTGAAATGGCGACGAGTTCTGTGTGTGCACCAGAGACATTTCATTTACATAAGTCCCAGTCCCAAGCAGTAGAGTGGGAATGGAAAGGGGAAAAACCTTGATTAATCTGTTGCAGCATATCTGTATGCATTATTCTATATCTCTCGTTCTATCTAGCCTGACCTAAGCAGCAATTGATTGACAATTGTCGGTCAATATCAAAGTACGCACACACTCACATACACATACACAGAGCAAACCCACACAGAGATGAGGCTGCTGAGCGATCGACAGTCTGGTTTCTCCTTCTATTTTTATACGTTTTTTTTTCTCCTTTCCTGTTCTGCCGCACGAAACATTCCTCTTGCACACAAATCCCACAGTCCCACAGACGACCAGGCCTGAGCCAGGAAGGACAAGAACCTCAAGGATTTTGACCTCATTTGTCTGTCGCACAATGGGGCTGACTGCCTGCCTGCCTGGCTGCCAGGGCACTTCTTGGAAAGACCTGCCTGTTGTTGCTTTAATAGTTTTTATTGCCTTTTATTTGTTTGCTCTGATGGGCTCCTCCGCTCCAGACGCCGAGAGGGGCAGGGGAAAGAGGAGAAGCCTGAGAAGACGGCGCCGCGCATGCGCAGTCTACCCTGTCCCCCCAGTCTTTTAACTCCAACTTGTGTTGCTAGGCAGACCTACTCTACGCTTTAGTTTCCCCCTTTTGAACCGATTTTGGAGGTAATTTGAGAAGTTTTTCTGTCTTGGTTTCGTTTGGTGTTTTTTTTTTTTTTTTGGTTTTGTTTGCTTTGGAGTTTTGTATTCTAGGCCATTGGCTTTTGAGGTTGAACTCTTACTTTTATTGGCTGACAAAAAAAACACTTATTCGGTCGGCTTGCAAGGTTTTCATTTTGCTGGAAACAAAACTCTTTTGAATCTTTGCTTAGTGCACAATCTGGTGTGGTGTGGTGTGAGCGAGCCGCTGCGGGGCAAGACCTGAACTAAACTGTCACAAATTTTGATATTGTTTGACTGCTTTTGACTGCTATCTTGTGGCAAAATCATATGCTATCCAGCACCAGAGATAAGGCAGATCTTTCAGCGGAAAAGACACTAAAACGAGTCAGACAGTCAGACAGACAGACCTTCTACGTAAATACATCAAGTACAGCGTATTTTTGGATGCTCCTGCGTCTTGGCCATTTTTATATGGCATGTTTATTTGGCAAACTTCAACCGGAGTGAAATTCGTGTGGGAGATGTGTCTCTCCGGTGTTTGCCCGGGGTCTTCACCGATGTCAACGATTCTACTGCCTCTCTGCCCAACACCCCATGTGATCTTGTCCTGTTCCGCATGTCTGTCAGACTCGTACACGTACTCGTTTCTTGGAAAATGTTGTTATTCAACGAAATGAGTCACATCCAGAGGGCAGGTACAGGGTCTAGCTGATATCGGCCATGTTGAGGCGAATATTTTTTAATCAATGAAATGGAATGGCAAAATGTACTAAAAATAGACAATTTCCATTGGGATTTACCCGGCGAACCCCCCCTTTCCGATAAGAGTACCAAGAAATCCTCTAAAGAGGTACTGGCACTGGTGGTTGAGCAGAGAGAGAGAGAGAATCACCCCTATATATGTTGATGGTACTGTGTCGCATCAGCATCGATCCTCTCCTCTCCTCTCTCTCTATCGTCAGATGTTGACCCTATTTTTGTTTTTATTTTTATTTTTTTTGCCAGTAAACAGATATTGCGCGTTGCCATTCCTTGACTGAATGTTAAATTATTACGAGGTCAATAATCAATAATTGGATAGCCTTACAAATGGCACTGTTAACACTAACACTTAACACTCGATGGAAACGCTGTATTCTATATACATATATTCGATATCGAGATCGAGGACAACTTACCGGGAAATTGTAATGGCTCGTGACTCAGTCAAATGTTGCGCTAGCTGGAGTGAAAATCGCTTTGGCTGCTGCTGGGAAATGTATGGTATGGAGGAGAATTCTTTGGATATTTGCTATAGTCGGCCAGTTTGTACGATGATTTTGAGGTATTTAACACGAAACTGCTATATAGTCACACAACGCTCTCGTGTTAATCAGGCGTGAAGGGCTACATTGGAAAAGCACTGATGTGATATAAAACTTTTTCCCGATTTCTCTCTTTCCGGTTGCCGTTGGACAATTCACACTCTTTTGGTTTACAACAAATAGACGTTTATTTCGCTTGAAATTATAGTTTTATTTCATTGAATTTGTTGGGATAGTTGTTGCCAAGCGGTTTTTTGTTTTAAATTAATTATATATAGTGTGTAGTTGTGTGTTGTGTGTATTTGTGGTGGGGAGAGTGTTTTGTAGAACGCGAGAACGTGGCGCTTTTTTAGTTACACTCCGAAAGCTGGCTGCCACTCTGTTTTGTACGTATTTTTAGCCGTCGGAAATTGTACAATTGTACAGTAACAATAAATACTCGTACACGTTGAACACGAAAAACACACAAATTACTAAAATGTACGAAATAAAAGCACCTATGTATTTTTTTCCCTTCCGATTGCCGCGATGAGTAAAAGAGAAATAAACGTCGAAAATCGGCCCCGCACGATCATCGGTGAATATTGTTTCCGACTCAAAGAGAAGTCAGAAGAGAGAACGAACTTGATTGCTTGCCCGATAGGATTGTCTGGCGTGAGAGTTTGAGTGGTATGCTAGCAGAATGTGCGAGACTTACACTACTCAACAAGATAAGGGGTTTTTTCTATTAGCTGCGATTGCGTTTCACACTCAACTACACTGGGACAAGGGCTTAAGTAGCAGGCTCATTAGCTGGTTACGGTCAAAACACTGAAACACTAAAGAGACAATTCGAAGAGAGCCCTCGCCCATGGTGCAATTATACGCCCATTGTATAATTTCATTATGCCCTCGCCTAACTCAATCCTTGTAGTACAGTGTATGACTCTCACAAGTTTCACTCAATGGTTTAATTAGTCTCTCTCTCTCTCTCCAAGTCGATTGGATGCTCTCTTCACCTCTCTCCGCTATCACTCTCTCTCTCTCCCGCTCTCTCTTTTGATCGTAGCGAATTGATTTCAACATGCATATGTAAATTAAACAGTTATTCGTGACGTCAGGCAGAGACAGACGATGAATTGACTCTGAAACTCCGAACATGTGGTTCCGCCCCCAAAAATCCCCTCATCAGACGAAACACAATCGGAAAGAGCAAACAAAACGTGCCGCGATAAGAGATAGCAGTCATGGTGTGGTGTGGAGGGGCGGATGAGTGGGAAATTTGTCAAGTTATTAGGTGATCTAAAATGCTAAAATCCCACTCAAAGTCCCAAATAAATACACCGTAACGGAAACGTACAGTCAAGTAATACATTAATGCACACTCTTATCTGTGCATGTTTGTTGAGCCTGGTGCCTGCACCACAAGGTGTATTTATTTAAAGGTAAGGCATTAATTACCAGGAAGCTCCTCTCTTGCAATAGCTACTTATGTATTTCGGTTCAATTGCCTTTATGCCTCAGTTAGTAAGTAATGCAGATGATAATACACCTTTTATGCACACACCGCGGTGACTTTGAACCGATTAAATTGCGTACCGAAATATGTACCACCTGAGCGGAAGAAATTGAAACCAAACAAATGATTTTAAAATTTATTAAATTATTAATTCGCTTAAGTAAATATGCTAATGAGCAGCGTTCCTGGCGGATTCTTGGGGCCTTGGCTTGTAAGTAAGAACTTCTATAGTGTAGCGGTTAGGTGAAATTTGAAATTTGGCCAGAAAGGAATCAGCTGGTTCCATAGTGTAGCGGTTATAGTCTTTATTCTGTTGTTGATTTATTTTCTAGGTCATACTTTTAGGTTGAACAACGGTGCAATATGTTTACAATTAACATTTATTTATAATTTATTCTAGGATAGGACTAAGCAGGAACAAGATTTTACACCCTAGGCACAAATCATGCATAAGAAAGATATTATTATTGATGTGCTTTTGGCTTTTAAATAAATAGCAATATTATATTCCAAAAGTCCGAGTTGAGTCCCCTGCCAATGACCTTATATGGTGTAACGGTGAGGGGAGGGAAATATGCATACAATTTGCAAGTAAATATCTACAGATATATGTTTCGAGGCAGAGACACCTACAATACGGAAATTCTACACAATAATTTCCTTTTCTGTGATCTGGGGGAAATTCTCAGCAGCAAAACATGCAACAAATTCATGCACGACTCGACCGTAGCTGCTAAACAAAACTGAAATTTGGCCAAAGGTAAGCAGCTGGTTCCATAGTGTAGCGGTTATCACGTCTGCTTTACACGCAGAAGGTCTCCGGTTCGATCCCGGATGGAACCAGGTGGTTTATTTTTGTTTTTCTTATTAATTTTCCAAAATATTTTTTTAATGTAACGGCAGTTAAAAAATAATTGTTTCCTTTCACATCATCCTTCAGGTGTTTTGAGCCAAAGACAACATATAGAGCTCGATGGGCGCCTAGAGCTTCTCTTTACACGCTGTAATGTCCTATTTCAGGCTGAGGTATGCATCAGTCTGTCCAGGGTCCTGAATTACAAGATATTTATAATTCACGAGGACTTTATCGGGAAACCAGGAACTTTGCCAGAAAACTGAAATAGAAATCACAACACTTTTTGGTTCTTTTAATTTTAATGGTTTTCTTTATTCTTCCGTATTCTTCCGTATGATTATTCTACCCGGTTATGTTAGGTTTACTTGTACTATGACGCGGATGGTGATTTGACTGACTCTCGCGATGGTTGATTGACTGCCTCCGACGATGGCTGGTGGACTGCCTCTCGATGGCTGATTGACTGACTCCCGCGATGGCTGATTGACTGCCTCCGACGATGGCTGGTGGACTGCCCTTTTCTTCATGCAAGGCAGTGCCTTTTATAGATCGGCCGGCCTTCGATTTTCCCATGAATGTCTTACAGATATCTTATTTCTACTCCAGAATGTGGGAAGGGTTCTTACATAAATATATATTGCCGAATTATAGTCTGCGCGTGCAGACAGGCTGATCGGTAACAGAAGGTTACCTAATCATTAGCCCTGCAGTCAGTGTCCAATATCCCCGGTAAGGAGAGTCGGAGACTGCTGACTGGCTTGCGCATGTGGGGGTTTTGCCCGGTAATCGAGGGTTACCTAAGCAATCGCCTCCCAACAAGTGTCCAATGTCCCAGGTAAGGTGATCGGTGTGCACCGGTACCGTGGGAAAGGAATTTCGTTGGCACTTCGGGAATATATATTGTTAGGAATATTTATTTATTTAATATTATTTTAGGTACTTATTGCGTAAGCCCCTTCTGCTGGTCTCCTGTCTTTTGGCGTGTGCTGAGGTTGCATTTTTGCTGGGTGTTGATCGCTTCACCTGGGAGTAGCGTTGGCTGCGTCATCTGCTTGTGACGAACCATGGGATCCATGGTTCGTTACACCCCCCCCTTTCTTCCGGGTGGGTGATGGAGAGATTTGTGGCGTCGCTTTGGAGGGTGATCGCCGTTCGATGTCACGTGTGCTGAGTCTTCGACTTTTCTGTCTGTTGGCCGCGCGTGTGCTGAGGTTGATATTTCCTTGCTTTGTCTCGTCTCTTGCTGTGGATTGTGGTGGCGCATGTGCTGAGTTTTCATTTCTTTGGGTGTTGAACTCGTCATTTGAGAGCGTTCGTTACTTCCGTGGCAGTGGGGGTTGGTTACATATTCTGAGCCCGCGGGTTTTTTTTGGTTCTTGGCTGCGCGTGTGCTGCGTTCTCGTCTTTGGGTTCGTTGGCTTTGGCTGGTCAGCTGCCGATATATGGAAACCAGAGTCGGGGCTAGGGGGATTGCGAGGGGCTGGTGGTAGTATTTGCCTCGTCGGGGGCATCACTGTCCTCGTGGAATTCCTTCAGGTCGTTGATGTTAGCCACCTTCGCTTTTCGGCTGCCCGGATGCTGTAGTTTTACAATGTTCGGTGATGCAAAACCTTTGACTCGGTATGGTCCATCGTATTTCGGTGCCAGCTTAGCGGCGAATCCGTCGGCCGCGTTGGAGAGGTGGTGTTGTCGTAGAAGTACTAGGGATCCAATAGTGGGGCGCCATTGCCGGCGGCGGAGGTTGTAATGCCTTCCTTGTTCTTGGCTTGCCCTCTGGATGTTATTTCTGACAATGGTGAATACTTCGCTGAGTTTGGTTGCCTTGCCGAGAGCGGTCTCTGGGGGGCTTCCGGTGCCGGTCGTGACTTCGTCGTAGAGGGCTCCAGGCAAACGGGGCTCTCTTCCATGCAGTAGGAAAGCTGGGCTGAATCCCGTTGTCTCCGAAACGCTGGAATTTATTGCGAGGGATATTTCCGGTAGTAGCTCATCCCAGGTATTTTGACGATCCCCTACGAATTGGGCAATCATGGTCTTGACCGTCCGATTTGCCCGTTCCGTTGGATTTTCCTGGGGGCAGTAGGGTGCGGTATGTTGCAGTTCTACTCCTGCTGTCTGTAGAAATGACCGAAACGATCGACTTGTGAATTGCGTGCCGTTGTCGCATACGAAGCGTTTGGGTATGCCGAAATGGCTCAGGATTCGTTCTCGGAAAGCCAGTTCCAGGGTAGCGGTGGTGGCCTTTTTGAGTGGTACCAATTCGACCCATTTCGTGAAAGTGTCAAAGAAGACGAGCAGCATCGTGTTTCCTTTCTTTGATCGAGGTAGTGGTCCAACGAAGTCAGCGCATAGTGTAGCGAATGGCTCTTCGGCTTTGCGAGTAAGCATCCGTCCCACCGGCTTGCGCTGTTGAGCTTTGAACTTCTGGCAGCTTACGCAGCCGCGGACATATTTCCTCACGTCTCGGTAGAAACCTGGCCAATAGTACCGTTGGGATATTCGGGTGATGGTTTTCCTGACCCCTAGGTGGCCGGCTGTGGGTTGGTCGTGGCATTCGTGAAGTATTCTGGCTCGTTGATCTTTTGCTACGCAGAGTTTCCATGCTATATGGTCGTCGTCGTCGGCGCCATGGCCCAGATGTCGATATAGTTCCCCGTTAGCATAGGTGTAGTCGGGGTATTTCTGAGGCTCGTCTTGGACTTGTTTTATCCGGTGCTGGAGCCAGGGGCAGGCTGTCTTCTCCTCTTCGATCCGTGCGAGTGTTCCTAATGGCTGCCTGGATAGTGCATCTGCGACTACGTTTTGTTTGCCCGCTCGATAATGCACGTCATATTGGTATTGCTGAAGTTCGAGGGCCCATCTCGCCACTCTACCGTATGGGCTGTCAAGCGTATTTAGCCATTTTAGCGCTAGATGATCGGTGATTACATCGAATCGGTACCCTTCCAGGTAGCAGCGTAGTTTCCGAATGGCCCAAATGACCGCTAGGCACTCCTTGTCAGTAGCGGAGTAGTTTTCTTCCGCCTGGTTCAGTCGTCGGCTGACATATGCTATGACTCGTTCTTTGCCTTCGATTTCTTGGGTGAGAACTGCGCCAACTCCTAGATTGCTCGCATCTGTTTGCAGCGAGAACTTGACGTTGAAATCGGGGCACGCAAGGACGGGGGCGGTCGTGAGAAGTG